AATAAAGGCAACAAACAGATGACACACAAAGACAACTGAGAGATGACACTCAAAGACAACACAACTGAGAGATGACACACAAAGACAACTGAGAGATGACACACAAAGACAACACAACTGAGAGATGACACACAAAGACAACTGAGAGATGACACACAAAGACAACTGAGAGATGACACACAAAGACAACTGAGAGATGACACTCAAAGACAACTGAGAGATGACACACATAGACAACTGAGAGATGACACACAAAGACAACTGAGAGATGACACTCAAAGACAACTGAGAGATGACACACAAAGACAACTGAGAGATGACACACAAAGACAACTGAGAGATGACACACAAAGACAACTGAGAGATGACACTCAAAGACAACTGAGAGATGACACACAAAGACAACTGAGAGATGACACACAAAGACAACTGAGAGATGACACACAAAGACAACTGAGAGATGACACTCAAAGACAAACTGAGAGATGACACACAAAGACAACACAACTGAGAGATGACACACAAAGACAACTGAGAGATGACACACAAAGACAACTGAGAGATGACACACAAAGACAACTGAGAGATGACACACAAAGACAACTGAGAGATGACACTCAAAGACAACTGAGAGATGACACACAAAGACAACTGAGAGATGACACACAAAGACAACTGAGACATGACACACAAAGACAACTGAGAGATGACACACAAAGACAACTGAGAGATGACACACAAAGACAACTGAGAGACGACACTCAAAGACAACACAACTTGAGAGATGACACACAAAAGACAAACTGAGAGATGACAAACAAAGACAACTGAGAGATGACACACAAAGACAACTGAGAGATGACACACAAAAGACAACTGAGAGATGACACACAAAGACAACTGAGAGATGACACACAAAGACAACTGAGAGACGACACTCAAAGACAACACAACTGAGAGATGACACAAAAAGACAACTGAGAGATGACACACAAAGACAACTGAGAGATGACACTCAAAGACAACTGAGAGATGACACACATAGACAACTGAGAGATGACACACAAAGACAACACAACTGAGAGATGACACACAAAGGCAACTGAGAGATGACACACAAAGACAACTGAGAGATGACACACAAAGACAACTGAGAGATGACACACAAAGACAACTGAGAGATGACACTCAAAGACAACTGAGAGATGACACTCAAAGACAACACAACTGAGAGATGACACACAAAGACAACTGAGAGATGACACACAAAGACAACTGAGAGATGACACACAAAGACAACTGAGAGATGACACACAAAGACAACACAACTGAGAGATGACACACAAAGACAACTGAGAGATGACACTCAAAGACAACTGAGAGATGACACACAAAGACAACACAACTGAGAGATGACACACAAAGACAACTGAGAGATGACACTCAAAGACAACTGAGAGATGACACTCAAAGACAACTGAGAGATGACACACAAAGACAACTGAGAGATGACACTCAAAGACAACTGAGAGATGACACACAAAGACAACTGAGAGATGACACTCAAAGACAACTGAGAGATGACACACAAAGACAACTGAGAGATGACACACAAAGACAACTGAGAGATGACACACAAAGACAACTGAGAGATGACACACAAAGACAACTGAGAGATGACACACAAAGACAACTGAGAGATGACACACAAAGACAACTGAGATATGACACACAAAGACAACTGAGAGATGACACTCAAAGACAACACAACTGAGAGATGACACATAAAGACAACTGAGAGATGACACACAAAGGCAACTGAGAGATGACACTCAAAGACAACTGAGAGATGACACACAAAGACAACTGAGAGATGACACACAAAGACAACTGAGAGATGACACTCAAAGACAACTGAGAGATGACACTCAAAGACAACACAACTGAGAGATGACACACAAAGACAATTGAGAGATGACACACAAAGACAACTGAGAGATGACACACAAACACAACTGAGAGATGACACACAAAGACAACTGAGAGATGACACTCAAAGACAACTGAGAGATGACACACAAAGACAACTGAGAGATGACACACAAAGACAACAGAGAGATGACACACAAAGACAACTGAGAGATGACACACAAAGACAACTGAGAGATGACACACAAAGACAACTGAGAGATGACACACAAAGACAACTGAGAGATGACACACAAAGACAACTGAGAGATGACACACAAAGACAAAGATGACACACAAAGACAACTGAGAGATGACACACAAAGACAACTGAGAGATGACACACAAAGACAACTGAGAGATGACACGCAAAGACAACTGAGAGATGACACACAATGACAACTGAGAGATGACACACAAAGACAACTGAGAGATGACACACAAAGACAACTGAGAGATGACACCCAAAGACAACTGAGAGATGACATGCAAAGATGACAGAGAGATGACACACAAAGACAACCGAGAGATGATATACAGATAAAGACAACACAGAAATGACACACAAAGACAACCAAGTAATGGCCTGCAAATAAAGTCAATTAAAAGGTGACAGACAAATAAAGACAACCCAGAAATGACATACAGATAAACACAACCATGAGATGACAGACAATTAAAGACAAACCAGAAATGACAAACAAATAAGGACATCAAAGGGATGATACACAAATAAAAGCAACCTAAATATGAGACATAAATACAGACAATCAAGAGATATTAACACAAACAAAGACAGCTAAGAGATGAGACACAAATAAGGCAACCAAATGATGAGACACAAATATAGAACTGAGATATGGCACAACTTAAAGCAGCCGAGAAATGACATACAAATAAAGACAACCATGTACAAACAAAGACAACAGAGAACTTAAAGGCATTTTGCAGATGACACACAAATGGAAAACCAGCTGACATTGATGGCACATAATTAAAGACAATTAATAGTTACACAGAAGACAACTGATAGATTGGTTCTATTTTAAGGATGGGGGACCCTGATTAGCCTGTTGGCAATGCCTCCATACAGGTATTTTCTCAAATAATAACTTAAAAGTGGAAAAGTCTCACCCAACAAAAATGTACTGAAAATAGGTGAAAACTGTCAAAAGAAGGCAAAAATCACTTTTGGTTTTGAAGCATATAATTCAAATTAAGTAAATATTCATTACCTTATTCATAGTGTACATGCATAATTGTTCAATGGTAAAAAACTGGGACATTATTCAATGCCTGTTTCAATTTCTCATAGTTGTAAGGTACTCATAAGCACTAATTTTAATTGTTTTTGTTAGTTGGTGTGTTTCTTTCATGTTTTTTTTTATGAATGGTCCTTATTGCTAACTCTGTTGATTCTTGAAGTTCAAAGACATTTTTTCAGAAGGAATATATATATATAAAGACTTCTCAATATTTAATTATATTTGACTTAGAATGCAAATTAAAAAAAAATTTAGTTTGAAACATTGTATAAAAATCTTAATTATTCTCAAAATTTAATTTCTGTCTGTTAAATAACAAGAGCTTCTATTTATTTATTTTCAGCTCTTTTATTAATAATGCATTAAACTTCAGTGTAACAGCTTTGTTATTATATTAGGCCAGCCTTAAATTGTTGTTTGTTTGCACCAATCTAACAATATTTGTTGGGGGAAGGTAAAATTCTTTGTTTTGGTAATAATACATTTTGCATACTTTATATTTAAAGAATTCAGAATTTTGTAATCTTTTTAGCAATTCATAGCAATATAAACAGAGTAAGATTTATAAATTTGGTTGGTAGAATTTTGAGAATGGGTAAGCTGAAAGCACCAAACAAACATTATTTTATTTTAAAGGCCTATAATATTATATAAAGTGCTCTGATATTTTATTGTTTTGAAATGTTTATATTAGAAAAAGAATTTCTGTCAAATCTGTAAATGACTTATTAGATGGATTACTGCTGCTTAATAAGCCTTACTGGCTTATCAGTCACTTCCTGTGCACTATAACAATTATGCTCTATATTAAAGGAACTCCACTGAGATCCAATAGCCTGAAACAATAAAATTTGAAATTCTCTCTTAAATCGGCTAAGGTACATTTAAATTTATAAACCAAGCAATAGATAATATATTATTATACACAGTATAAATTGGTAATCATTTTGTATGCAATTTTTGGCTGATTTGAGTGAAAAACGTTGCAACTTTTTTCATTTTTTGGGCCAATTTGCGCAATAAAAATGATAATTTCTGGGAAACACGGGGTGAGCGAATTATCTGTAATTTTGTATACGAGTTATTTGTCAAGACATACATCTAATTATACAAAAATCTTGAGAAAAAAAATCAGTCAATTCACATCAAAAATCCTCAGTGGAGTCCCTTTAACAGTTTGTTACTAATACAGCTTCTATATTATAAATTTCTCTTTCCACAACAGCTTGGGATATCTGTTATTGACAAGTTTCATTCCCTTTAAATCTAGGAAAATATCAAAAGACCCATTGTGTTTGTCTATTATACACGTTTTACGCAACATCTGTTCTTTTGTTGTTAAACTGTCTTTCTGTTTTCCTAAATCAATAGCAAACTGTAGTGTCCTACATTTAGTTTTTGATATATGATATAAAATGATGTCAGTAGAAAAATTAATGAGTAGAGGACATGAGATCTCTGTAAACACTTTAATGGCCGAGTAATGATCAATATTTCTAGATTTAAAAGTACTTGATGCTTGTTATTTACAAAATAATAAAGACATATTTTTGTAATAGTGCTCTTATGAATATGTTAGTTTCTTTTAACAAGATATGGTTTTCCAGACGTTAACTATATAAATGGTCATTTTCTTGTAATAAGATCTTGCTTATTACAAACTTTTCTGGCTATATTTTTTTATGGCAGCTTGTGAGCTAGTAATAAAGCTAATAATTAATTGACTTTGATGATTTATTTATTATTTCCTTGTTTATCTATTTAAAGCAACAGAAGAATGGAGTCTCAAATGATGCATCGAAGGAAAGAACTTTAGATGTAAGTATTTTAATAGTATTTTATATAAAAAAATGTTTGTTTGCCAGCAATATCAAGCCAGGTCAGACTAGCCTACAATGAAAGAGGTTTCCATTGATAGCTCAACTTTGTATTTTGTTACTCAGAAATCCCATAAAATTATTAATAATTTACTCAAGCAACATGCAGCGAAACTATTCTAGATTCAAAACAGAACAAATTTATTACACAAGTTTAGCAGAATAAGGGTTAAGCTCATGGAGACAGTATGCATCAGTCTTTCTGACACATAGAAATACCTCTGATGTAAAAATGAAAATGCCATCTTCAGGTCAAGGTTATACTGAAGTTCAGCTATAAAGTTTACTATGATGTTACTATATCGACTATAACAATTTAGTTTAGTTTGTAACAGCTTAAAAAGGGGAAAATGCTCATGGGGTAATGGGTTAATAAAAAAAATCTACAAAACAACAAGTTTTCTTCAAAATTATATGTTAGGCCATGTTTTAACATGGAAAATGGTGATTTTGGGTAATTTCAGGTATTTTCATTATTTTCTGTTAACCCATTACCAGATATATACGCCTTTCTATGCCTTTTTCACCCCCCCCCCCCTTTTTGCTTTCTCAAATGGTGGAAAATTGCCTTAATTAGACCCCAAAACACTTGTTTTTGTTTGAGAAATGTTGTTTAAAAAATTGACCACTTTTTCGGCGCTGTCCCCCATCCTAAAGATACATCGGGGGTTGCCAGAAGGGGGATGTGCCCCCTTCTGTTTGGGGGGTTTGAAGGGGGGCAGAGTCCCCCTCATCGCCAAGAAAATTTTGGACTTGTGAGAGGCTAAAAATGACCCCAGGTCGATCATAAGGTAACGTGTAACCAATGCTGAAAAGCCTTTGACTCTATCTCAATCCATTGAGAAGTGGCAGCACTTTGAAATCAATTTTGATGGAAAAAATCAACGCAAAATAGTGATTTTTGGCAATTTTGAGATGTCCCCTAGTTGCCATGGTAACAGGAAATTTAAGACTGAGCATGTTGTTACAAAGGCAATGGTCCAGTCAACATTTGTGCCAAGTTTGATTAGTAATGAAGCAGTTTTTATAGTTTTATAGCACATTGAACTTGTAACGGGAGACTTTTCAATGAAAACAGCCATTTTCCAAAAAAATGCTCGTGGGGTAATGGGTTAAAGCTTTATACACTTTAAATCACAACAATTTCTTATTCTATATGCTTATCAATGAATTTATAAATTATACATTAATTTTACCATCTAATTTGTTGTATTATTTTGCAGGACATTGTTTTCCTGAAAGTTTTTGACTTTTATGCAAAGGATGGCAATATACATGTACAAAGGTAAACTTTACAAACATTTGCATGTATCTTGTAGATGTTTTGCCTCCAAAGTTGTCAATTAGGTCTATTTGGCAGGTGGTTGTGTACAAGCTGTCAGGTGATGACCAATCTTAGGTCTACAGAGCACAGCTTATAATTATGTCCTGGCATGGATGCTCTGTGTCCTGTTTGTTTGTGTCCCTAGACATGGCTCCATTACAACATGTCTTAGATGAGGTTGGTTGGCATGTGTAGCTGGTACCCGGCCACCTGTCATAATACCTCAGCCTCCCTTTAGAAGAAAGGAAATATTGTTACATTAGTGCAAAACAGGACAACTTCTGTAAAATTTTATAAGGATTAAACCTGTTACTGCATTAAGGTGACAATATATTCTAAAGTACCACTGTAGTAAAAACTTGTAGTCTATGACACACTGATGAACAGCAAGTTTTGCAGGGTAATAATACTGGTCGTATACAAATATATTAACTTTTAGTGAACTCACTGTTTTCTCTAAATGGCTTTTTAAGAGTTGTAAATATATATAAATTGATATCTATTAAAATGAAATTTCCCACTAATGATATATAGAGGATATTTGTTTAGTTCAGTGTAAGATCGGAATATATTTCACTGAGTGAGCACCAAAAGGTATATTTCACGAGTGGCGCAGCCACGAGTGAAATATCAACTTTTGGTGTTCACAAGGTGAAATATATTTCAATCTTACACTAAACTAAGCAAATTTTCTTTTTATTATATGCAAAGAAACGTTTTAAAAAGACATTTAACCTAATACTGAATGAAAAGCGCGCCAAATAATAATATAACGTGACGTCATTTACGACGTCACGTCATTAAGTTGGTTCCCAGTACTGTGCACGCTGGTATTTCACTGAAATAACGTAAGGGGCTTAAATTCAAAACAGTGAAATTATCAAAGTGGTAATTTCACTGTTTCAAACAGTGAAATTACCATTTTTATATCACTGATATATTTCTATAAACCACCGAAAAGCATGTAATAAATATATATATTCATGATATTTATCATTACTTGTTCTAAATTTGATGAAAATATTTGATCATATTCAGTATTAAAATCATTAAAATATTGCTGGTGCACTTTAAAGGTTGTTAAGTGCAGATTCTGCTATATATACTGGGTAATACACTTAATTTCACATGCTATTTCATTTTAATAGAACAGAAAATTTCAATTATGAAAATCCATTAAGTTACCTAGATATACATTATACATGTATATTGGATATTGGTTTCCAATGACAACAAATGTACCTGATTATTTTTCAAGCCAATATTTTAATTGAATTTCTTGTTGCTATTATCTGTCTTTACCATCAATGAACTATGGTACAAATTCAGAATCAATATAATTATATTGTATATATTAAATTGCATATTCAAATGAATGTATGAGCTATTTTCCATGTACTGAAATAAGCAACAAATCTCTGTGTAGAATTATCATAATTAGAGAGGCTTTTCATTTATCAAATAAAGAGTCTTGAATGCTATAAAGTATTTCTATAAATGTGCTGGAAACAAGGTTTAGATGAAATAGTACCACATGAAAGGTTTAGATATAATTATGCTAAATAACATGGCTTAGATAATTACTAAATTATGAGCGGGCCACAGAGGACTTAGGTAAGCTAAACAAATGCCTTGATAGATAAGGAGGGGGGGGGGGGGGGTGAAAAGAGGGCTTGAAAATGTAGGACCTATTAAAGCTAAATAAAGGGCATTAATTAATTCTAAATAAAGGGCCTAGATAAATGCAAATAAAGGGCCTAAATTAATACTAAAAAGGCCTAGATAAATGCTAAATACATAACATAGATAATACTTAATTATGAAGGGACCTTAATGAATACTTTATAGAGAATCTAAATAAGTAAAGCTAAAAAATAGATCTTGATAGATTTTTATAGAACCTTAAGATAAAAGTTAAAAGAAGGCTTTGAAAATGTTTAATAGACTGGGCTTAGATAAATGCCAAATAAAGGGCCTAGAAATATGCTAAATTAATGAAGAGCCAAGATAAATAATAAAAATTTTAGAGAGGGCCTAGATAAATGCTAGATAAATGGCCCATATAGATAAATGCTAAATTATATAAGAGCAAGATAAAAAGCCTTGATAAATGCTAAATAACTAATCTTCATAAATGCTAAATAAAGGGATAAGATAAATTCTAAGTGAATTGCCTAGATAATTTCTAGATTAAGGACTTAATTAATTAAATGCTTAAGTAAAAGTAAAAGGTTTAGTTGAGACAATGATTATCAAACAGCTTGATTTTATATATAATATAGAATTTCAATTATCTAATTATATGTAATTAAAAAAAATTGCAGATTGCTACATGATATATATATAGCACTATATGAAGTTTATATTGCAGCTATTTTCTCTATTTTTAGTGCCACTCAGTTAGCACAATCTAAGAATGCTGAGATAGCTAGATATGTAGCATTTCACGAGACACATCTATGTATAGCTGATATAGAACATGATGGAAGATTTGGTAAAGGACCTGTAAGTACTATGTTCTTCCTTTTTACACAGTTTTGAGTGTTAAAAAAATAGAGGGTATTTGTTTGTTTTGAGTGAGTTTGCTAAATATCACACTGAGAAGTGAGAAAATCTCAATATATTCACCAGCTCAATGCAGGAAAGATAATGCAGATATTTTCACACTTTGATAATTATTTATGTTATATATACACTGTGGGTGATATACTGTGGATTATATGGATATTTATCACATGGTTAAATCCCAGTGTTAAGGATATGAAGCATGATCAATATTTAGTTTAAAATATCTCTATATAAAGGGATTTTTTTTCATTCCATAGCCATTTAAGTGCTGCTTTCTTAAGGGATTTTTTTTTAAATCATGCATTTTCACTAGAATTCAGTTTCCATCATATGTTTCCTTACTGTTGCAAAAATGCTAAAAATCCTTTATTTAAAGCATTACACTATTCTAAACTCAAAATACTGAGTATTATTTTTTTTTTATTTAAGGTATTACCACCCTAATGGGCACTATAAGGAACTAAAAAATTGACATCATACTAGGTCAGATATATACCTTAAAGTACACCTGTATGCAAAATTTAAACAAAGTTTACCGTACGGAAATCAAGTTATAGCCACTTTTCTGAACTCAAGCTAGGATGTTATGAGGGCCCTTTTTTAGAAATGAAGAACCTTTAAATAATCTGCAATAACATTCTAATGAAAAATGTTTTCCCATTAATTTTTTGTAAGAAACAAATAGTACCATTCAGCTAACAATCCACATAAGCAAAATTATGGTTTCTACTTAAAATATATGAAATCTGTATAAAAATGTTACCCTACCCCATCCATTTTTACCATGTGTATGACCATTTTTCTACTTAGGGAGCCTAATTTAAAAAAATCCTTAAAATTTCAGTGATTAATCTAGAAATTCCTTACAATGCGTCGGATGACGCACATGTTTGAAAACAATGAGTCCTGTAGCAAAATCAATGAGTCATGTAGCAAAAAAAATGCGTCTTTTTAATAGCAGATCCTTGACATGATTTGCATGTTTTTATAACAAGCGATTAAGTAATTAAAGTGCATAAAAACGTTATTTTTGGTACAAATATTAATTGCAGGCAAAACAATTTTTATTGGCTGCTCAAAAATCTAATTTTCATAATTTATATTTTCTTACTACTTATGTCTAATACTGTGCATTATCCATTTTAATTGTTCGTAATTTGCACAAAATGTCCCTCTCACACTGTATACATACTGACGACTTTTATTGCTCCTTGTATGCCTCTGTGTAGAAAGCATACACAGACAGACCTTTTGATCCGACATGAAAAAAGTCATGCACAATGTTACCCTGATTGGTTAATCACCCTGTCAAATATTCTGATGACGTAATAGACATCTTTTTTTTTTTACACTCCGCGTGAACTTGAGTGACCTTAGGGGAAATCATTACACACCTGTCAGATTATACTGTAACTTACAGCATTTCTTAAAATAGCAACACTTTTTTTCAGTTACCGATAATTATTTAAAATATTAAGTAGATAAATGAGTTTTTGTTTGCTTTATTGGATTAAATTTACGGTAGTAGAAATGCAGTAGTAGGTGGGAAAGGGATTAGGTAAGTAGATAACTTGGAAAAATGCTATAGGGAAATGGATAAACTCAAGAATATGCGTAATTACAGGGGAATGGGTAACCTGTTGCTGTTGGTACCAGTTTTGTCTGGATGACTAAATAACATACAATATAAGTCTGATGCGCCTTTGGCCATTTGCTGACGATTTTCCTGTGCCCTTCTCATTTTTTAGCGCCAATGTCTGCATATTTCACCATTGTAGGCGAATCGCTCTTATGCAAAATGGACGCTCTGATTGGCTAATGCCGATAATGGGCGGTTACCGATCACAAGCAACAATTGCTTGGGATTTAACGTTTCAAGCAAATGGGGGATTAGTCTTGCACCTGATATCATCGGAAATTAAATTATTCAACTGAAGAAATTGAAAAATTATTCAACTAATGAAATTAAAGTAATCAATCTGTACATAGAAATCACTAATCGTGATATTTTGGATTATAAACTTCCTGATTAGCATGCGTCAAATTGAACGCACATATTTTGAAACTGTGCGTCTTTTTCGATTTTTATGCGTATTTTACGCAAGACGCACATCTAGATTAATCACTGAAATTTACCCAAATTAGTGCCTGTTTTCAAAGTTTCCCTAAATTTTCAAAGAAGTATATTGGTTGATATTATAAAATATGAAATACTTTTACCGTCTAGTTCTGATTTTATTACACTTTGAAAATATCAGGTACCATATTTATTACTAGATTTAGCATAATTTAGCCAATAAATACCTATATAAATTAAAAAATCAAAAGAAAAAAAAAGTTGACCCTTCTGGGGATTGAACCCACGGCCCTCATTTTCAATGTAGTTAACAGTAGTTCTAGCCTATTTGAATACTCTTCAAACCAGAGGTAATGCATTAGGATGGTAGATCTAATACCTTAAAGTACTGGATATTATTCTTTTTACAAAGTACTGGACAATTCTTGATTCAAAGCAGACTAGACAATTCTATTCAAAGCACTAGACAATATTCAATTTAAATCACTAGACAGTAATCTTACCAGGGCAATTCAAAGAACTAGACAATTCTGTATTTTCAAAGCACTGGACAATTCTGAATTCAATGCACTAGACAATTCTCAATTCAAAGCATATTTCAAAGTACAGGATATTATTCCAATTGGACAATTGTTGACTCTAAGCTGACTTGACTATTATTAATTCAAAGCACTAGAAAATTATGAATTTTCAAAGTACTAGACCATATTCAATAGCTACTGGACAATTCTTAATTCAAAGTACTAGACAATTTTAAATTCAAAGCACCGGAAAATCTTGAAACTTGCAAAATACTAGACAATACTTTGATAAATCCATTATGTTTTCTTTTAATATTTAAGTTTTTGGATCAGGGAGGCTTTACTACCAGGAGTATATTATGTATGCCAGTCTACAACAGTGAGAGAAAGATCACTGCTGTTACCCAGCTTATAAACAAACAGAATGGTTCCCCGTTCAATGACAGTGATGCCAATATCATAGAGGTAAGAGGATAAAACTAAAAACTGTTGTGGGGTTTTTTAGGAGGAGAGGGGAGTTCCACTAAAACACCTATTTCTATGTTGTAGATGATATCATATTTAATTGTATTGTACAACATGTATGATTTTTGAAAATACAGAATCAACATTAGCTATATTTGATTTGTAAATTTTATTGTACTGAATCCAAGATAGTTTAAGGACTTTCAACTTCAGCTGAAGTTATCTATATATAATTATACTAACTTAAGAAAGGTAGGGAAGACAATATAAAATTGAATCTTAATAAATCCCTTGTTTGCCTTCAAAATGCAAAATTTAATGTTTTAAGTGGCGACATGGCTGAACGGTTAATGCATTGAACTATAATCTAAGGATTGCTGGCTTCCAGGGGCAAACTGTTGTTTCACTGAGCATGAAGCCTTACACTCTTTGCTTAGTACTGGTTGGTTCCAGGCATTGAAAAGTGTTTCATACAATAATCTTATAGCTTTCAACACAGTTAAACTAAAACAAATTTGTATAAACTATAAACTAAATGCAAATGTTTGAAGATAGTTCAATGAACTCCATACCAAGAAAATTTCACGTTTGTAGTTAAAACCTAGACAAGTCATTTTGCCCTAATCCTTATAATCTGTGTTTCTATTTTAACTTTCTGTTATTTCATGCCTCCAGCATTTTAACACTTAAATGATGAATTTGTCTCAAAACTTTTTATCCATTATACATGGTTGTGGTTACAGAAATAATTTGTTTTGTATCAGAAAAATCAGAGAAACAGAAATTGACACAGTAAAGGGATAAAATGTGTCACAGTAAATGAAAAAATAATGAAAATATTTAATGATTTTAACTATCCTGTTTTATCTGAAATCAGGAAGTGTTAGAAGATCCATTAACAAAATTAGACCTTTAAAAAAGTGTGATGGGTGCGATGGGTCAACATGCCTGCAAAGTTAGACTTTTATATAACTCTTACCATGCTTAATGTCTTTAATGAAGTTGTCCGTCTTTCAATCTGGACATATGGTAGGTTGACAATCAGGACCTATAAACTGATGAACCTGGACACTCATTGCAACTATTAATGTTACATACCAAAATGTTTATATAAGAAACCACTGGCATAAATTGGCATAAAAATGATGGTGATAAGAGAAATCCAAGATGGCTGCCGTTTATCTTTAGAGGTGAAAATTTTCAAAAGAGGCACTGACCGAATAGAAGTGCCGATCATGGTCAGATGGTACCAATTGATCAGACGGCACGGTCTGCACTGGTGGCATGTGTAGATTCTTTTACCGCCAGCAGGCTCTGAGTTACAGAAATAAACCTGCTAAAGCACTGAAGCAGTTGATTGAATATACATGTAGGCAGTTTAAGATTTTACATAGCTCACCAAGCTTAGCTCACTTTCCGATAATTTGGCAATAAAATTCAGTACAAGAAAGATAGAAATGAAAATTCTATTCTTTGCAGTTTTGATGCCTGTTCTGATTAAGCAAGTATTTTATAATGCTAAGTGTTGGTGACAGGAAACTTTCTGCTCTGTCTGCATACTATCCTAATTAGATGTAAACATGCCCATAATTCAAAACTTGATTGACAAGAAGACATTTCAAGCGAGGAAAATGCAGTCTACTGACATAAGATGTGTTTGAAATTTTGTTTCTAGCGGCGTTATAGTGTCATCCATAACAGCTGCAATTTAGACTTAAACTAAAACTCCAGACAGATTTATCTGTTCTGAAAGTTGAACAATTGAATTATTTTGTGGAACTGATGTATTGTTTAAAGATGTACCGCAGTACAATATAGCAAATAAATCTTGCAATTTTTAGCTCGACTATACGAAGTATATGGAGAGCTGTCCTACTCGCCCCGGCGTCGGCGTCCGCGTCCGCGTCCAGATTTTAGATTAAAGTTTTGGTGCAGTAGAATATTTTTCACTATAACTTTGTCTTTTCTTAAGATATCAACTTCAAACTTCAAATATATGTTCCTTATCATCAACCACATCTTACGTGACAAGGTTCATAACTCTAGCACCAATATTTTCAGATTTATCTCCCCTTGAACTTAGAATTTTCCTTAAAAAATACTATTTTTTACTGTTACTTCTTTATTTCTTAAGGGATCAACCTCATACTTCAAATATATGTACCTTATCAACATTCTCATCTTATGGGACAAGGTTCATAACTCTAGCACCAAAATTTTCAGATTTATCTCCCCTTGAACTTAGAATTTTCCTCAAAAAATGCTATTTTTTACAGTGTTACTTCTTTATTTCTTAAGGGATCAACCTCATACTTCAAATATATTTACGTTATCATCATCCCCATCTTATGTGACAAGGTTCATAACTCTAGCACCAATATTTTCAGATTTATCGCCCTTTGAACTTAGAATTTTCCATAAAAAATATTATTTTTTACTGTTACTTATTTATATCTAAAGGGATCAACTTCATACTTCAAATATATTTACGTTATCATCATCCACATCTTATGTGACAAGGGTCATAACTCTAGCACCAATATTGCAAGAATTATCTCCCCATAAACTTAGATTTTTTTACTAGAAAAATGTTATTTTTTATTATAACTTTTTTATTTTTAAAGGTATCTACCTCAAACTTCAAATACTTATTCCTTATCATCAATTACATTTTATGTGACAATGTTCATAACTCTTGAAGCAATATTTACAGATTTATCTCTCTTTGAACTTAGGATTTTCTTTAAGAAATATAATAACTTCTTTACTTTTTAAGGTATCTACTTCAAACTTCAAACATATATTTCTTATCATTACACAAATGTTGTGTGACAAGGTCCATAACTCTAGCATGACTATTTCTAGAATTATTCCCCTTGATCTTGGAATTTATGTTAACAAATGTTATTTTTTTACTATAACTTAATACATTATTACACATAATTGATTTTTCTTTCATAGTTTTGTCCTCCTTACTGCGTCCAGTATTTTATTAGTCGAGCTTCGCTGTCTCCTGTGACAGCTCTTGTTTACAGACTGATCAGGGAAATGTTTTTTCACTGTATACATGTATCAAATAATGAGAGACATGTATGGGTATACGATTTAACTCAGACACATTTTCAATATAAAGGTCTCCAAACTTATAATGATACAAGTTTGTTAAATAAGATGGTCATTTTATGTTACAACTCTTTCTATAGTTGATTTTACAAAAATATTTCATTAGATTTTGCTTTATACCCTTTAAAGTGTAGTTTGAAAAATATTCTGATTTTGATCAAAACAGACTTCCACATTTAACAAGAGTTCAGAACAAGGCTATTTTATTTAGGTGGCGCGATAGCTTAGTATGTTAGACCACTGACTGTCACTCCTGAGGTTCCGGGTTTGATCCTGGGTAACACCCTTGGGATTTTTCAGAAACACTTTCAGTGTTTCCCACCTAACTAGAGGTTTACTGGTACGAAACCCAGGTAATTCTCGCATGTATCAGTGCTTTACACTGGGCATGTAAAAGAACCAAGGAATCTATTCAATAAGAGCTAGGGGCTGGTTCCCGGATTTCCTTGTTTCTCATAGCTGTCTCTGCAGTCTGCTTAGGTAAGGACCCTACTGGAAATAGTGCTTGCACTTTCGTAGGTTATCCTTGACTGCCCGGTCTAAAGAAAATCAATCAATCAATCAATCAATCTTCCTCTAGATTCAGCTATTTCTAACTAAAATTGTATTACGTTTATATACCAAATAATCACATTCCTGTCACTGCTTTAGGTCAATCTCCACAGATACTTTTAATTCTTTCTTGTGAGCGAGCCTTTCAGCCAGCTTACAGAAGATCCCTGATTCAGCTCAGCTCCCCAGCCCATGCCTGAAGTAATCAATGTAGCAGTCTCTTTGGTGTTCCTCCACCATTGAAATAGGTCTTACTCCAGCATTGAACCTTGACTGTAGTAACTATCATTAAAAAATCAAAGAAATAACTTATTATCTTTGAAAAATTCATTAAAAAATGACCGTCATTAAAAGATTTAATTATATACAACAGTGCAAGAAATAATGTGGAAAATCCATTTTCTTATTTTGCTGAAAATAGATTAATACTGGAAATAGTGCTTGCACTTTCGTGGGTTATCCTTGACCGCCCGGTCTAAAGAAAATCAATCAATCAATCAATCAATCTTCCTCTAGATTCAGCTATTTCTAACTAAAATTGTATTACGTTTATATACCAAATAATCACATTCCTGTCACTGCTTTAGGTCAATCTCCACAGATACTTTTAATTCTTTCTTGTGAGCGAGCCTTTCAGCCAGCTTACAGAAGATCCCTGATTCAGCTCAGCTCCCCAGCCCATGCCTGAAGTAATCAATGTAGCAGTCTCTTTGATGTTCCTCCACCATTGAAATAGGTCTTACTCCAGCATTGAACCTTGACTGTCATCATTTTGACCTCTAATTAGTAACTATCATTAAAAAATCAAAGAAATAACTTATTATCTTTGAAAAATTCATTAAAAAAATGACCGTCATTAAAAGATTTAATTATATACAACAGTGCAAGAAATAATGTGGAAAATCCATTTTCTTATTTTGCTGAAAATAGATTAATACTGGGAATAAAAATTCTCAAGGGAGGGTTTTTCCACTACTTAAAATGTCACAAGACATGTAATAACTATGAATTACATTTAATGAGTCTTTTGAAAGGCATTAAGCCTTGTGGAATGGTATAAAGTAATCTTTCTAAGAGATAAAAAAGTCGCAATGTATTGACGTCATGTCGTACAAGTAAAATGTAATTAAAGAAACTGTCAGCTGAAAGAAATGTTTTTACTGGAAACAAGAGTTGGCTTTTACTTTTACGGGAGAGTAGACAAGTTGGCAAATATTAGTTTGTGTATAGGGTAATTTTTCATAGATTTCCTTTCAAGTCTAGGCAATTTTCCAGTTCTGTAACTTGTTATTCTGTTAAGAAAATAAATAACATCGGTAAATTGGCAAGTTGCTGTGTGCTTTACACTGAGGAAATGTCTGTGAATATAGTAATGACATTTATTTGAATATAGAGGTATTGATAAAACACTAAGTTTTTTTTTATTCGTGATTGTGCAGTATTGCTGCCATGTGCATTAAAGTGCAGACTGTTCGTTCACAATCAATATTACTTTTCTAGACAATATATTACATAAAGACATTAGAAACCACTTAAAATTTTGCTTTTATGAATAAAGATATGTAAATACTTAGCATCTGTCTGATTGATGAGATGGGTAATTAAAAAAAGAGATTCTGATTTCAAGACCCTTGTCAATTACTACTGTGGGTTTGTATCTAGTGGTAACAATGGACCAAAGTTAATAAATTCTTTCATGTGTGAAAACTATCCAGTATTTTGGCTAAGGGGTCTACCCCAAATGCCAACCTTTATGTGAAATTATGCATCAGAATTCTTTCTCTACCAGGAATGCTTTAAGTTTGTGAGTTGACTGTATCAGTATTATTGTGACTTACAACCCACTCGGACACCCTGTCCACTTCCTCAAATTCATGCATCTTTTGCACTAATTTTATATATTCTTTATGACCCAAATGCCAACCTGTATGTGAAATTGTGCATCTTTATTCTTTTTTCACCAGTAATGCTTGAAATTTGTCATTTGACTATAACAGTATCATTTACAACCCATTCGTACACCCACTTCCCCAAAGTCATGTATCTTTTGTAATTATTTTAAATATTCTTTTTTTTTCCAGGCATTTTCCATATTTACTGGTCTAGGAATACACAATTGTCAGATGTATGAGAATGCCTGTAGACTGATGGCCAGACAGACTGTGGCCCTCGAGGTGCTATCATTTCATGCTACAGCAGGCCAGGAAGAAACCGAGCGTCTTGCAGAGGTAGTTTTAATTTTTAATTTATATCAGTTTATAATACCTTTAAATACTCTCAGCTTTAACTTCTTTATATCACTACACATTACAAGCTGAAAATGTATTATGGATCAATCTGAATTTAGAGCAGTCTTTAGTATACAATGTATTAAAGCTGCCTTCAGCTTTTATTTTTTGTTGGCAAAACAATTTTGTGCTGTTTCAAAATAAGTATTTCAGTAATATTACCTAGGAAAAGTGCATCGCTCTGAAAGTGCATTAATGTTCATTTCTAAAAACCTAACCTAATCTAAAACTCTAACCTATAGAAAAACTGAAGGCTGCTTTAAGGGATTTTAGTATATAAATACCAACATTTAAGTAGCCATTGGTTTGATATATCAGCATAGTCAAACAGCATGATGTGCATTCTGGCCTGACTGTATGTATTTAAATGACATAGGTCTTTAACCCATAACCTGCTGGAACAAGAAGTGACCAGCATTTGCCACCAATAACAGTCTGACCAGGCTCTATACTGTTGGTAGCTCATTTTTTATGCCCCCCAGAAAAGCGGCATATTAAAATCACACTGTCTGTCAGTTCATCTGTCTGTATGCCCCACTTATAAGTATACAACATTCGTGTCCGGAGATAACTTTGTCATGCATTGAGGGATTTTAAAATATTTTAGTACAAATGTTTACCACATCAAGATGATGTGTCGCGTTTTAGAACCAATTTTTTGTCCCTTCCTCAAAAGTCAAGGTCACATTTACAGTTTGAAGGTTCTCGTTCTCACAATTAGAGATTTAAGGTAGACACATTTGTGTCATGGTAAAATCAAAGAAATAATTTATAATCTTAGTTAAATCATCATTACTAAGTGCTTTGCAAAATGTGGAAAGAACCCAACCTTAGAAATGTTTTAATACTCATTTGTTAAATCATCTTTGATACAAGATGGCCACACTTGTTTTATTGTTTGTTTAATATTGTTGATAAGTATGTAATCAAAAGTCTGCCTTCCTGCAAGTTGACAGAGTGGCCAGGGCATAGAAAGAATGATTGGTTTGCAGATTATTTGCATACTTAATAAGATATGTCTAGTGTATTTGTTCTAGGCAAACAGAAGGAAGATTAATTAAACAAAATAAATCTTCAGGCTGCCACTCTTGTCATCTGATTTTTTCTAATAAATTGTTTTGACATAGTGTGTGATGTCATTTTGAAGGTATATTTAGCAGCATGTATAGTCTAGATTCAGAGAAGAAAATCTCATAATACCTTATAGCCTCATCTATTTGTAATGAAATATAGAACTAATTGAATGGAAAACTGTTCCTTGTACGGGGCATCTGTGGCCTGAAATGGTAATGATTGTCAACTTCATACCACTTGCCCCTCACCGATATGGGCTCAAATCCCATCAGAGACTTTGAATTCTTTCATGTGAGGAAGCTATCCAGCTAAGTCTAACAGAATGTTGGTTGGTTGTTCTACTCAGGTGCCAGTTTGTGCCTGAAATAATGCAAGGAGGGGCACTTGAGGTTTTCCTCCACCAGTAAACTTAGGAAGGCGCCATATGACCTTTTAACAGTGTTGGTACAATGTAAAAATCCCAACCCAAGAAAAAAGATCCCTACTTATGTAGGTCAAAATGATTTATTCAGCAGATATTAAATATTAAACATTCTGGTAAACTTAGTTTGCTTTCTCGAAAAAAAAAGCACATTATTTTATATCAAAGCTTTAATCTTAACTTAAAAGTTGGTTGGTTCTTAACTGTAATTACACTATGGATCATAATTTGTAGATCCAACCATAGTTTAGTACTAAGATCTTTTTCAACTGTGTCATTTTATTTCAGAAAAGTGAAAGTCTTACAGGAAACGAGTTAAAGTTGTATACTTATGAATTTAACGATCTTGTTCTTTCTGATGACCAGACACTACAGAGTGTTATATGTATGTTTAAAGAGTCTGGCCTCGTTCAGAAATATAAAATACCCATGGACGTAAGTCATATTATAATATATTCTATGAATTGTGACCAAAAAAGTAGTTGATTTTCTCATACATTAATGTGTCTGGTTGTGTTGTATGTTATATAACTTGTGTTATAAAGAGTATAAAGGCTATATCTTATGTAATATTTTATGAAATTTATAAGCATTAGAATTATTTTGTTTCCGTAAAAGATTTGTAAAAGAGATTTTCATTATAATTATAGGTATGTAAATGTTTCAGAACAAAATATTTTGCCTGCAATACATGAATTTTGGTGCCAAAATTTGACACCATTCCCCTCCTCAAATAGTGTATATTTTTCCCCTACCTAAAATTTTAAAATTCAGGATGAAAACATTTTTTGCTGAAATTACATTATTAATTTTAAAGCTTCGAACGTTCTTTCACAACACATATCTATGCAGCTTGCTTACAGAGCGTCCTTGGTTCTACTCAAGTGCTTGTACCGGCATGAAATATTGCATAGAGGGGCACCTGAGGTCTGCCTCCACCAGTAAAGCAGGAAAGTTGTTATATGACCTTTACCAAATATAGAAACAAACAAAAACCAATAGTGTTAGGTACTGATCTATTTTATTAAAGCATTCATATTTTTATTGCAGGTGATATGTAGATGGACTTGCAGTGTGAAAAAGAATTATCGACCTGTTACATATCATAACTGGAGACACGCATTCAACGTCACACAGACCATGTTTACTATGCTTTTTGTAAGTCCTATAGAATTTCCATTAATTTGTTTAATTTGCTATCGAATGAACATTGAAGCAGGTTTGCCTTTCCTTTTTTAAGAGCCAGTAATTTCACTTATAAAAAGATAATTGATAATAATGTTTGGATTACGAAACTATAATTATTTACTGATGCTTTTTTTAATGAAATGAGTTATGCCTGATGTAATTTGAATAGTGGTCAATATTAAGTATTTGTCAAATGACACTTAATAACGTATTAGGCCTAATTAACATTCTGTACTTTAGTAGAAAGGCAATGGTGACAATTCAGTGCATGTCACTTTGACCTCAATGAACTTTGTGAAAATGATTTGTCAAATGCACCATTGAGTATTTCATGACTGTAACAGTATATGGTATATTTCAATGCACATTGAGAAAGTTGTAACACCATTGAAATTTCACATACAATTATGACCATTTTTGAACTTAAACTGTTTTACACTATCCAGGCTCTTTGTTTTATTATATTGAGAATAGTCAAGCATGCTGCACTCTTGTTTTTTTTTCCTACAGACAAATAATATCTTCTGTTATGAGTATTTGAATAATTTGTTGATATCACTAAATTTGGTCTGAAAAATACATCTATGGTGTAGTTAAGTGTGATATGTTTAATCTATAAATGAATGAAAGAACTTAAAGGAAGTCAATGTCATTCAACCGTATATCTTCATTTATTTGACTGTTTACGTTTTCCTAATATAAGTTTAATCTGTATTACAGACAGGAAGGTTGTTGCCAGTTTTTAGTGAGTTAGAAATACTGGCCATGTTGGTTGCCTGTTTATGTCATGACCTTGACCACAGAGGAACCAATAATGCATTTCAAGTCAAGTAAGTTAATATATTAGTATTACCGCTTAAGGCATTCTATTCAGGGATCTTTCTGGCTGACTTGTTTAGGTTGCCCCTCACCTATGTTAGGGTTTTTGAATGTTGTCTGGGTCATTCTTCAGTTTTGAAAGGAAGTTATTCAGATAGCTTATGGAAGGTTGATGGTTCCACTTATATACCCACTTGTGCCTGGAATAACAATTAGAGGCACATTTTAGGTCTCCCATCCACTAGTTAAGCTAGAATTTAGTCACCATTTGATTTTTTAACGGTGTGTGTGTTTTTTAAAACACAATCAATAAGAACCTTATTTTTATACCAATTAAATAAATGAACCATGATTGATAATTATTTCTTGTTGATATCTCATTTAATCTTATATCTGAACAATGTTAAGTTGATCAGATGTTTTCAATGCACCTAACTATATGAATAAATATTTATTCAATATTTAAAGTGGCAAAAAAGTATGCCAGTGTGACAAGGGTTTTGATGGATGTATTGTGCTTAGAAGAGATATGAATGTTAGTGCAAATAGGATTTATGGAAAGTATTAAAAAAGGATGTTAACTTACAGTAACATGCAATAACATAATGAAAGTATTACTCAAGGTGTTTTGAAATAAATGGATAAATTTAGATTCTTATTGAATTAAAACTAATAAAAGATGTGTGAAAAAGCATTAAAAGATGTAAATGCTTTCTCAAAAGATTACAGTAAACTCCGCTTATAACGAACTCATAGGGACATTCAAAATTTGTTCCTTATATCCGAAGTTCCTTGTAAGCATATAGCGAATTAGTTCCTTGTATCAGGAGTTTTTATAGCGAACATATTTACATATAACAAACTGATTGTTTACCATAGTTTACCATCGTCCGCCATTTTGAAAAGCATTTGATTAAGAAAAATAATCATTTATTTCTTTTTTAGACACAATACCCAATAGCGTACTTTTTGAAATTTGAAAATCCTTTGCTATTTCAATTTTAGTCTTACTCCCTTTCTCAATTTATCATAAAATGTCATATTTTGTTTGTTTCTAAACTCAGGGCTTTTTGTTTTCCTTTCATGATTAAGAATAAACAAGATTTTTTATTTTTCCTTCCTTTCATATTGAATATCTTTTATTATTTTTTAAGAGTGACTTTTTACAAATAAAAGGTTTAGATTTCTTTCCATTTCAATCAAGCCTACTTTTTAGTTTTCAGTGGATTATGCTTGCAAGCATGCTGATTATGTTGAAAACCGATTATAAATTATCATAATTGTTTTACACGAGCAAACCTATCAAAGAAAAGAAATTAAGAATAAAAGGAATGCGCGGTTTGTCTTGGTGACAAGATCCCATGCTAGAAATATCCTAAATAGAAAACTATTACGTACTGCTATACAAATTCATTTTCATAGATGTATTTAGGTTCATTCAACAATGAATGGTACATTCGGCCATTGAAAACAAAAGTTTAACATGCAGGTTCTATTAACAGATAGCAGATATTTTGGAGTTCGTTATAAAAGTATAATTTTCTGTGCTTTAACTAAATTGGGACTAAGAAATGAGTTCTTTATAAGCGATAATTCCTTATAACCGTGTTCACTATAACCGTATATTTTTATATTAAATAAAGAAGGGCAAAATTCGGGCCAAAATAAATTGTTCCTTATAACCGGGAGTTCGCTATAACCGTGTTCGCTATAAGTGAAGTTTACTGTAAATACTATCTCAACAAAAAAGTCATTCAATATGAGATATATAAATTTACAATTTTTGTAGGTAACATACATGTAATGATTTCTTTTATCATTTAGAGTTGTGTCACCCCTGGCAATGTTGTACAGTACATCTGTGATGGAACATCACCACTTTGATCACAGTATCATGATTCTCAACAGTGAGGTACACATTTTATTCACATATTTGATTCTCAACAGTGAGGTAGTTTTGTTTTATGTATATTTAACAGTGAGGTTATCCTATTTCTAATTTGTTATAATGACCACCTTCATATAGGGACCACCTATAGATTACTTGTCACCAAAGGCTGCTATTTTATTAGTCCCCTACCGGTTTATTGGAGGGGACTTTAGGTTTACCCTCCGTCCGTCTGTCCGTCCGTCAGTCCGTCCGTCTGTCCGTCCGTCAGTCCGTCCGTCCACAAAACTGGATCCCGCGATAACGCAAAAAGTACTGAAAATATTTTAATGAAACTTGATATATGGATAGATGGCAGTATGGAGATTATGCACGTCTTTTTCTTTTCTTCCTATGTTGAAAATTCTGGTTGCTATGGCAACAAATAGACTGAAAATATGGCAAATTTTACACATAACCTGGATCCCGCAATACCGCAAAAAGTACTGAAAATATTTTTATGAAACTTGATATATGGATAGATGGCAGTATGGAGATTATGCACGTCTTTTTCTTTTTTTCCTATGTTGAAAATTCTGGTTGCTATGGCAACAAATAGACTGAAAATATGGCAAATTTTACACATAACCTGGATCCCGCGATACCGCAAAAAGTACTGAAAATATTTTTATGAAACTTGATATATGGATAGATGGCAGTATGGAGATTATGCACGTCTTTTTCTTTTTTTCCTATGCTGTAAATTCTGGTTGCTATGGCAACAAATAGGCTGAAAATATGGCAAATTTTACACATAACCTGGATCCAGTGATAACGCAAAAATTACTGAAAATATTTTTATGAAACTTGACATATTGGTAGATGGCAGTATGGAAATTATGCACATTCTTTTCTTATCTTCCTGTATTGAAAATTCTGGTTGCTATGGCAACAAATACAAATAGACTGAATTTCAAGTTTTTTCACCATAAGTTCTTTATTTCTTAAGGTATTTTCTTCAAACTTTAAATATAAGTTGCTAGTCATCAACCACATCATATGTGACAAAGTTTACAACTCTAGCACAAAATTTATCAGAATTACCTCCCTGGAACTTAAAATTTTCATGAAAAAAACATTGTTTTTTTTAATAACTTCTTTTTTTCTGAACGTATCTACTTCAAACTTCATATAAATGTTTCTTATTATCACTCAACATTTGTGAGTGTTCAATACTCTAGCAAGACTATTTCCAGAATTATGCCCCTTTTGAACTTGACTTTTTTTTGAGAAATTGGTAATTTTCTTTAATTATGATAGGATTTTCTTCAAACTCCCACATCAAAATAATATGACAATAATATGACAAGGTTTATAAATCTAGCATCTATATTTCCAGAATTATCTCCTCCTTGAACTTTTTATTTTTCCTATTCGTTCTTTTAACTTTCATTTACTTCAAATTCAAAATAAGCATTCAATATTCATACCTTCATTACTAATTGTTCTTTGTTACACTCACATCATGTATGACATCGTTATCTCCTTGTGTTTAAAATTTTACTTTAAAAATGTTATATTTTGATAACAGGGATGTTTAAAAAATAACTTTAGAGTGTCCTTCAGTCTGTCTGTCTGTACATAAAAACTGTTCACTGTGATCACTTAAAATAGAAACATAAGTGAATGGCCAATGGCCCTTCAGAATGTTGCTTGGGCTCTTACCGGTAGGGGACTTATGGATTGCTTGCAATACTATGATAATTGCTTGTTTTCTCTGTTTTTTTGCTTTCAAAGAGACCACTTGTTACCAAGGATCATATTTTCTGTTTCTCATGTCTGGTACTTTATGACAGATTTAATGGTATTTTAATGAAAATTATGATTTAGAGGAGTCTGTGGTCAAGTGGTTACGATTGTTGCCTTCAAACCACTTGCCCCTCACTGCTGTGGGTTCGAATCCCAACAGGGACTTTGGATTCTTTGGTGGTTCTACTCAGGTGCCTGTTTGTGCCTGAAATAATGCATGTGAGATCTCCTTCCACCAGTAAAACTGGAAAGTTGCCATATGACTTTGACTGTGTTGGTGTGATGTAAAACCCAAGCAAAGTAAAAAATCTACTCATCATTACAGTTGGCATATTATGTGTGCATAATTATGTAATATGGATAAGGTAAAGTTTCAAAGAAAGCTCTATGACAGAATTTACTAAAACCTTGAACTAAAAGATGTTATTAGTCAAATTTAAGAAATATTTCCTAGACCATGAACTCACTAAATATACCAAGAATACCTGAAAAGGGATCTCCTTCCATAAAATGTGAACAAACTGGAAATAGATCTACATATTGTACCTCCAACTGATTTTTTTATCTGAAAGTGTCCCGTCCTTGTAAAGAACTTCCAGCCTAAACTTTCAAAACCATCATACTTTTGAACATACTTCTATTACCATAATGCTGAAAAAGGTCTTACAAAAAGAAAGACCCTGAACTCACCTTTCCAGTAATTAAGCTCACAATAAATAATAAGTCATTGATTTCAAATCACTGGCACCCTAACCACTGTCAGTTAAATACCACCATTAGATTCAGTAATAAGAGGAAACTAAACAGCCAATCGTTTGGATAAGAATCTACTGAGACACTGGCATACCTCACAATAATGTAAAGACTAGTACCTGAGGTCTAATACTACACTGCCTTTACAATGTCAATTTCACTTGAAATCACACACATACAATAGAAATAAAAACCAAAATTTATTCACTTGTTTTCACTTCCTCCTCTTTTATTTAAGATATGGTTATTACACTTTATGTTTTTTAACTGCTGACTAGACAATTTATCTAAATACACCAGCAACAATCAGTTATTTTAATAATTCTCTAGAGATAAAAGTAGAGACACATATTTTAAGTGCTGTTTTATAACCCAGGTTTCTGGCTGTTTATGTCTTTAGAAAATGCATTAGACAATATTATCAGGCTGCTCTACAGGGACATTTAAACTAAAAATTGGAAATACATTAATTTTGTAGTTATATGACCAAAATTAATTGTATGAAGGCAGGAATAAAAGATTTCCCATTATATTTCTACATTTAGCCATGTGTTTAGGAAAATAAAATTGACTATTGATTGTGAACGTGGCAGAAATTTCTTTTAACTTCCTGATGAATCTATAATTAGATTTTCAAGAAAAATTGGTTAATACAGTAACTGTTTTTGAACGTTACTCCATACAGTTTGGTGTAACAACTGTATTAAGTATGTTTGTCACCTAAAGTAGGGTTAACTTGACCTAGACCAGTCATGTGTGTGAGTTCTCCACAATAATGTCTTAGTTAATATAGGACTAATGCTGGTTATCACAACAGTAAGCATTATGATATACTTTTCTTACAATATACTCATAAAAATAATACTACCACCACCACAGCACCCCCAAATTTGTTTAATTGATTGGCCATGCTTTGAATTTGAAACAATCCTTTGGGTTTTTTAGGGGGGGGGATATATTTATACAGGAGAAAAGAGCTTAATAAGACTACATGTATTTGTTAGCAGGTTTGACTATATATTTGTGGTATTCTCAGGTGTTTATTGATGGTAGCATTCAACAGATTTTAACTTATATATAAATATTTAAAGTCAATAAACCCAAGACCTACTAATTTTCCCTTTTTTCATAATATACAATTAGCAATGGTTTCTATTTCAAAATGCTAAAATTTAAGCTCTTAGCATTCTTTAGACTGTATCCAAATGCATAGATGTGCAGGCTGGCTTAGTACTCTACTTGTGGTATAGTGGCATAGTGGAAGCTTTATCAGTGCATGGCCTCACATTCAAAGATCAATATATTGCAGCTATACTTCTCATTATGCAAATAATTATCATTGGTAATATTCATAGATTTTTTATCTTTTCCGTCTATATTGTTTGTATTATATTATTTCAGGGAAACAACATATTCCAGTCCCTGTCACCAGAAGAGTACCGTGAGGTGATTAAACAACTGGAATTCTGTATACTTTCAACTGATCTCGCTTTATACTTCAGGTAATAAAATATGATTGATAGAAATGGTATGAATTGAAACAAAGACAGTGATAAAGTCAAGGAGGTTCATATTACACTTAATAATAAAAAAAAACAACAACACAAATTTGAAAGTGTTTCTCTCTGTTTAAAGGTTAAAGGGTCTTTCATGACAGAGTGATAAAGTAAATGACTTAGAATTACTTGGCCTATACCACTGTGGCTTTTATAACTGCCTAGATGTTTCATGGGGAGTTACATGTAGCTTTATTGATGGTTGGTGGTACTAAATCAGGTGCATACTCATGTCTGAAATAATATATCAGGAAAGACATCAGAGTCTTCATTCTTAATAAAGAAAAGAAAGTTGCCATGTGACCTTTTTCTGTTTCATGTTATTAATTAACCTCAAACCAGCCCCACTTACTTCCTTAAAGTGACATTATGCTCATTTTTTCACTGCTACAATGAAATGAATTTATATATATTTCAAGAGATAGACTAGACTTTTATAATGGTGATTGACCAGTAATTGATAATCAAAAAATGTTAAGGATAAGATATGAAAATTAACTAAATTATAAAGAGACTGCCCAAATTAAATTTTACCGATACATTCCAAACATTATTAAATTTTATAGAAATGCCCTTGTGTTGTATACTGATAACTGATTAATTTTGCATCATGAGATATAAAATTGAACACAATTATGGTAATATGTAAAGTTAATTTGACTTTTATGTGTGCACTCACTATTTATACTGTGATGGATAAATGACATTGCAATAATAAAATCAAAATAAGGTAAATATACAAGTACCTTTTGGGATTATGTAATTTCTGCCATAGAATGAATACAGCTCAATATAAGGAACTACAATTAAAAGTTGATGTCAAGTGTTACTTTATTCTTAATAGTCAAAAGTCAAAGTCAAATAATTTATTGGCAAAAACATATACATGTTCATCGCCAAGTAACATTTTGGATTAATTGGTTATTATGTTTGCAAAATAATAATGGGTATACTTTTGGTAATAGATGTGTTTTCAAACTGTTTTTTCAGCAGCTCTAATGTACTGTGTGTTTATATATGTGATGCTTGCTTTTTTCAGAAAAAGAGGTGACTTCAAGAAATTAATTGACTCTGGCAGAACTGATTTTAAAGAGAAATCAGATAAAAATCTGTTAAAGTAAGTTGATCAAATAATGCTTTACATTAACAATCATTAATGTTGATTAAATTGGTAAATACCTATATACTTTAATTATAATATTTCAGCCGCGTCACGACAAAACCAACATAATAGGTGTGCGACCAGCATGGATCCAGACCAGCCTGCGCATCCGCGCAGTCTGATCAGGATCCATGCTGTTCGCTATCAGTTTCTCTACTTGTTATAGGGTCTGTAAGTGAACAGCATGGATCCTGATCAGACTGCGCGGATGCGCACGCTGGTCTGGATCCATGCTGGTCGCAAACCCATTATGTTGGTTTTGTCATGACGCAGCTCATTATTTTCAAGTTCATTGTGATACCTTAACCACTTGGCCACTGCTACCATACACTATCAGTTACAGGGAAGAATTATAGTACTAATATATAGAAAAAATAGCAAAATTTTGCCTGAAACATGTAATAGTGCTGTTATGACTATAAGTACTCAAGAAGTTATTAAACAGTTCAATAGGAAGCTTGCAAGTTCAATTGAAATACTTTTACTTGAAGTGATAATACAGTATTTGCACTAATTATATTAACTAGGGCTATGATGATGACAGCCTGCGATGTGGCCGCTATTACAAAACCATGGGAAGTCCAGAAAGAAGTCGCTCAGTTAGTTGCTAATGAGTTCTTTGAACAAGGGGATGTAGAGAAAACACAGCTTGGAGAAACACCAATTGTATGTTACTACTCATTTCTGGCGAAATTTTTTCAGGATGCCTGGAACTTTTTGGAAAAAGTCACATAGTGGGCAATTTATCCTTCTTTCCCTACTTTTAACTGTCTTGTTAAACTCATTTACCATTTCTTTCAGACCCATGACAAATAACCCTTAATGTGCTAAATTTCTAACTTGGACGTTTTAGAACTGTCCATTGTCATTATTTTGGGGTAATCAAGATGAAATGTAAATTTAAGTCACCCAATGGCACAGACTGGTCTTTGTCTATTGTTATTGGTCAGAATCTTTTATTCGAATAAAATATTATAAGTTATTGGTCAGAATTTTGCTTTACAATAAAAGAATTTTTTTTATTGACCAGAATCTTGCAATCTTATAAAAGACCTTTTAATTGGTCATAATCTTACAATCCAATAAAAAAAATACTTTTTTTATTGGTCAAATTCTTACAGCTCAGTATGACACTTTATTTGTCAGAATCTTGCTTTTCTGATATAACACTGTGTGTTCCTGGTTACAGATTTTGCCGTCTTTTTTATTTCAGGCAATGATGGACCGTGATAAGAAAGATGAACTCCCGAAAATGCAAGTTGGATTTATTGATGCCATATGTTTACCTGTATATGAGGTATTATTGATGGTTTTCTTTATGTTCTTTACTGGACTAATTTTTCTGTTTTGTATAATAAAGCTTATAAGTATAAATGTTACTATGTTACCAAGCAAGCTGATGCAATGTTTTCTCTTTTATTGAATGTAGAATAAGGAAAATTAGATTTTAATGTCAAAAAGAAAAATATATATAACTTGTATTGCTTTTGAAAGTAAGAAAGAAACCCTTTCCTTTATATGTTTTTTTTTTCTAATGATTTCAACAAAAATATACCTGTTTATTATGTATAAAGAATATTCAATAGTAAATTTGATGAAGAATTTCATTTGATTTCAAAATTGTGGAATGCTTAAATATTTCATTTATTTTGATGTTTTTTTACTGTTTTAGACATTTCATAAAAATAGGATTTTCTATGCCTAAGCAATTTCTAATCAGCATAGTTTAGCAATGTTGAGATTTTAAATAAAGATTTCCAATTATGCAGTATGAAATATCTCAAAATCAATTATTATTAATTATCTGTATGCATGTGTCTATGACTTAATTCTTATCATTAAAGAATAAATGTATTTTTTTTTACTTACAATGAAAGATGTTTTCTGAACTGTGGCCTACGTTGAAACCCATGTATGAAGGATGTAAGGAAAACCGTGAAAACTGGAACCAGCTTGCGAACTCGCCCATTGCCAGTCCTGAACCTTCTGGTTCATAAATTTTACATAGGATTCGATGTTATTGTAGTCTTTAAATTCTTGTAAGCTTTCCTTGCCGTCAGTTGTGAATGCTGCAAATGTATTTGTGTTTCAATGTCTTTATTGCATGTTTAATAAGCACTTCAGATCTTCTGAATATTCAAAAGCCTGTAAAAGTCCACAAAATATTCATGACATGCCCACTGTCATGTGTTTTTATTAAGATCTCAATTCTTCACATAGCATAGATATTGCTTATTATAAAAAAAAAATCAATAAAAAAAATCGCTGTTACGTCAGTTATGTTTGTCTGTTAGATTTTCCAAAAGTTGCAATAGAGAGATTTTGCTATCCTTTTAACATGCTACAAGCTGGCATTCTAGAACTTTGCTAGGATTTTATTGCCTGCAATGGGTCTAATATTGGTTTTGGCTTTTCCTTGCTGCCTTGTATATTGTTTAGGATTTGGTTATTTGATTAAATTGAGGTAATTTATGGTGTTTCATGATCTTTGGTAGGGGTGTCACGTTTATTCGTTTAAACTGGTATGGTCGGTTTTTAGTTAAAAACCGGTTAGATTAAATTTGATAACCGGTAACCAAGGTTAGTATTTGACAACAAGGTTTTAAATTGATTCTAAATAAATCTTAAGTTTTTATAACAAGATATGACAATTTGTTTGTATATGAGTTGTACTCAATAATATATTTTTTCTGATTTAATCGAGTACGGTATGGCCCTTTCTGATAGAGTACAGTACGACCCTAACAGAAAATAGTTACTCCATATTTGGATATGTATTGTAATCATTTTGAGTACAACAAAATAGGAACAAAATGTCATATCTTGTCATCAAGAAATAGAGTTAAATGTTGAAAATCTAGGGATTTTATTAGTACAGACAGTTTAAAGTTTAACACACCAATTATTAGGTCACCGTTTCAACCTTGACACCCCTAATCTTTGGGTATTTCATTGTCGTTGAATGTTTTAAAGTATTGAGATGTTGTTTTATCATCTTTGGGTATATTATTGTCTTTTGGTATCCGGTACTTTAAGATCTTGAGCACTGTAAATCTTACTCAGCATGTTTTTTGTTATTCAGTATTCTTTTTTTTTATAAAAACTGGAAAATGGTTCTATTATAAGAAACTTGTGATGGTGCTTTGCATAAACTCTAAATGTATTTTTTAATGCTTATGCTTCTGGTGGGCAGATTTTGAAATATTTAGATATTTATAGCTATGCTAGATATTTTTGAATTATTATTGTATGGATGAAATTTCACATATATAAGTTTGGTCTGTATATTTCGACTGCAAGACCAACTGATTTTACAAACTAAATTATAAAATAGACTTTGGTCTTTACAAAATAAAAACTCCTGGTGCACAATTTGTTGGGCTAATATAAATACTGATGTTTATATTTTATTGTCATTTTGTAATAACATATAATACCTGTTAATATATAATAATTAAATGGCTTAATTTGATTTGATTTTTTCAGCTTTGTCTGTTTAAATGATAACCAATAATATGTATGTAAAACTGTCTTCACAATAAGAGAAGCTGTAAATTTTTAATTTGTATTCAAAAGATAAAATGACTGAGCTTTCAAGATGTGTGATGAAAGTATAAATAACAGTATAAAAGATCTTACATGAGTTGTCACTTAATATAGACATTATATCAAATAGTCAATGAATGTGTTATAAAGCTAGCCTGTGATAAGCATTACAACAATTTTGGAACAAGTTAAAGAAACTTCACTGAGGTCTAAAAGCATAAAAAACAAAAACAAAATGATTTTTTTACACAGATAGGCTGGGTCACTTAAAACAGAAAGATATGCTAAAGATAATTAAGAAATATACTCAGAAATAAATTGAAAATCATATTTTTGTTCTATTCTTAGCAGGATTTTAGTGAAAAGCAATTTAGGATTGGTTATTCTGGAAAAATAGACTGAGCAAATGATCTGAAACTTTGTACACAAGTAATTGGTCTAGACCTACATCAAATGAAACAAAATTAAGTCTGTCATGTCAAAAAAAATCTCAATGGAGCCCCTTTTCTTAAAGTGCATATATAAAGTGAAAATGAATGCAAGATTGTTTTTATCACATGATTCTATAAAGCCATAGAATGTTTATATACCATTTCAAATTCATCATTTGACGCAACATTTTAGAATGAAGCAACCAATTATAATTTATTGGCCATTGACCTTTGATATGGTTGGTGATGTCATGATGTTTTATCATCATTTATATGTAATATAAAGAAATATGCAATGGTTATAGTATATTGAGAAAAAGTAATGTCATGTGACAAAATTAAAACATAAACACAAACATCATGGTGAGTTGGCATTTTCAAATTTCGAGATTCTTGTCACCTAATATTTTATGATATTGTTTATTATACATTATCGTATATTCTCTTATAAGCACCCCCTGGGGGATGTTTCATTTTACAAAAGAGGTGTGGGGTTTTTAAGTACAAAAAAAAATGGTTACATACAAATGTAGCATTAAAACAAAATGTTTACTGATTTTCTGTTTTTTTCTGAGAGATTGTGTATACTGGGAGCATCTATGCTAATTTCCATGGACTTAAACTAAAATGCTATCATCTTGGTAACTCAGTGTTTTTTGTTTGTTTGTTTTTGTTTGTTTTTTGGGGGTTTTTTTTCCAAAAAAGAAAGGGGGCATTTATTGGAGAATATACAGTGTCTGTAGATATTGTTCTTAGATGTTGTGACATTTTCTTATATTTGCATGTAGATGTTTGCCAAGATCAATGTGTATCTTAAACCACTATACAAGGGAGCACTTGATAACAGACAACACTGGCAGCACTTAGATGACCTTTATAGAGAAGGTTCTTACATTTAAATGTTAAAATGCTTTCATATGCTTTTAAAATTTACTTTACCGACAACGGTAATTCTTTAAAAACTTCTTTTTCTTTTATTTGCTCCTTGAAGTTTTTTTTGGTTAAGCTTATTGGTACAGGCTTGTCCCTCCTTTCAGCTGTCAGAAAATCCTTTTGCAATACTTCTAATGATTCATATAGCATCTTCATTTGATTGAAAAATATCATAGATAAACGGTGGGCACATGCTATCTTTGGGTAGAATTTAAGTTACTGGAGCCGGAAGGGGGTAGGGATTAAATGCAAAGTGTTGTGAAAGGTTATTAAAATGGTATTCATGATAGTGAAATAGAATAATCTGTGTAAGGCTATACCAGATGTATGTATATAATTGTTAAAACGTCGGTTAGTAACCAAAATGTTTCTTAGTCAATGTCATAAAAATTATACCCAAGTACCCAGATTGAAAGAATAATGATTGTCAATTTAGGATACAGTCACAGAGTGGCACCTGCTTGTATATTTTGCTAAGGATCATGTTTATCTTTTTTATACTTTTTAAGACACTGTTGCCCAATTCAAGAGGAAATCCTAGTTCTTTGACATGTCCTGTCGTAGAGTACCAGTCTGTGGAACATTGGTTTTAAAGGTCTTAGCTTTAAATGATTGCCCAATTCAGGAGGCAAACCTGGTTCTTTTACATGCTTGCTGTGAGGTACCATTCCCTGGGACTTTGGTTTTTTAGGTCTCAGTTTAAAATGACTGAATAGGCTAAAAGGTGAAATAATAGTTTTGTAGGGAAGTTAAATCTGAAACTTCAGAGTTATTTACTATTCATTTAACCAAAAAACCTGAAGATAGGTTTAAAAAAAAGAGAATGAAAAAATATTAGCAAACATTAAGAAGAAGGTGAAATGTTAGTTGTTGTGAAGCATGCTTTCTGTTCAATGGCTTTTAAATCTTAGCAGGTGTTAAAATTTTCTATTCCTTGAGAAAATTATTTATTTATTGTAAGTTATTTTTTAAATGTTTCATAGTGTTTAAACTTCAAAACTGTCATATTTTTATCCCACACCCATAAAATCTGAAAATGGTGTTGACTGTCCATATCTCTTTTCATCCAAAAACTTTTCAGGTTTGTTTTTCTAAAGGAAATGCTTAAGGAAATGATAGGGCTCAACAAATCGTTTTCATAAATATGATATTCATGTGATTTCATAAAAAAAACACCATGGCTCTGAGTATTGCCCTTAATTACTTAAAGAAAGCTAGGCTGTTTAAAAATTTTGATAAACCTTTTTTTTAAATTTTCTATCATGTAGTAGGGATATCAATTCAACAAATTTCCTTGTTTTTGTATACTTTGTTGTTATTGCATAAGATAAAAAAGCTTAAATAAATATGTAACCAATAATGAATATAATATGCTCAAAATTTTATGTTTCATTAACAAAATTCTATGTTTATTTCTTGTAGGTAAAACAGAGGAACTTCATAAAGAATTGAATATAAATGGCACAAACAGTATTCAGACCACAACAGAAAAAGATAAAAATAAGAAAAATGAATCAGATTCTAAAGGAAAGAAAAATTTAATGAATTTAAAGGTATATTGTTCATTCTTTTCTTCATTAATATGTTTTCATTGGTGCAGGCTGTGGCAGGAGAATGTTCTATTTTGTTGAAACTCACACTGAAAATGTCATAAGGTGACAGTTCAGCATTACTGGTAGAAAATGATATAAGGTGCTTGTCCATTTTTTTTCAGAAACAACAAGTGGGCACCAAAGTAAAAACATTGATTCAAATTCTTTAGTGGGACGGTAAGAAAAAATTGGTTCCAAAGTCAATGACCAAAACCATTGGTTCTGAGGAGTCACTTTACTTACATGGTTGAGTTTGTTGGAATAAATGCATGAGACTTGGTACAGAAGAATAACCAAGTTTTTACCTTTACGAGAAAAGCTTGATACTACTCCTTTGTGTCAATGTTACTAAACATGTATTCCTTGCACAGTGTAGCTCTGGTTATACTTTTAGTGTTTATGCATTCTATATTTTAGCCGTGTCATGACAAAACCAACATAATGGGTTTGAGACCAGCATGGATCCAGACAAGCCTGCGCATCCGCGCAGTCTGATCAGGATCCATGCTGTTCGCTTACAAACTCTATTACAAGTAGAGAAACTGATAGCTAACAGCATGGATCCTGATCAGACTGCGCGAATGCGCAGGCTGGTCTGGATCCATGCTGGTCGCAAACCCATTATGTTGGTTTTGTCATGACACAGCTCAAGAAAGTTTCCCAAAAAATTGATGGTAATGTGGAGACTATGCTCTTTATTTCTTTTTGTGATTAGGTAGCCAATATTCTTTGTTATCAGGTACATGTATATTGAACTTTTTTTTCCAATTTAGTAGTTAATCAGAAACATTAATAACTGGCAGATTTTCAGTGCTATGCAAATTTCAGCCTTTTCACAACTGTTTTTAAATGGGTATCATAATAATTGCTGTACTCTTAACTTGAAGTATGTGTCATAAAATTGTCCTTATTATGTGGATAATTCTATTTTTATTATATTTATTTAGGCAATGAAACAAGACAAGAAACATCCAAAGAATCATGGAAAAACCAAAGTATGTTTACTACTTTAACAATCAACTTAAGATACATTCATCTGACCTCCCAGTACAAAGTGTCTAATTGAATTCATCTAGAAACTTGCTGTTCTGCTGAAACTAGACCTCTTGAAGACAACTAGAAACAACAACTAGCTGCAGTATCCCTGATACAATGTGACTACACATATTGAAAATAAAATTGCTGGCACACATGGAAGCTTCGCTTACCGTACTAGTTTTAAGCAAATTCTTAAAAACAACAAGAAAGTAACCTGCTCTTCTAGTTTAACGTGATCTCTTGTATGAATACTTACTCTACTACTATTATGTCTTAATGAATTCAAGTAGAATCATCGCACTTTGTCTTGGAACAATTTCACAACTTGAAAATTAGCTTGAAAAAATGCATTATCTTTTTGGTATAAAGTGACTACTTGAAATCAACTTGAAGCTTTGCTTACTCCCCTGATACACTTAGACCTTGTTAAAAGCACCTTGTACTATTGCTTGCTGTCAAGGAGAACAACATGACAACTTGAAATCATGAAGTAATATAACTTGTTCACCAAGTATGTAAAGATGTCTAGAATCACTCATTGCTAACCTTCCGTTGTACACTACAGTGTGACGGCTTGAAATCAACCTGAAACTCTGCAATCGCTCCTTGTTCAGTGTGTCTTCTAGATATCTAGAAGAAATTTTGCTCGCTCACCTCGTGTTAAAGGACTTCTTAAAACACCAGAAACAATTTGCTTCCCTAGTTTTAACTTTACTTCTTAAAACCAAACTCAAAGCGACGCTCGCACCCGTGTACAATTTGACTTCTGAAATGCTGCTAGAAACCCTGAATGCTGTCTCAATTTCTTTAATCAATATGACACATGATTTATTGGTGTAGTGAAATTACTTGAGACGTCAACTAAAAGCATAACTCACAATCCAAGTTCATAGTCTGATTGTACTCAAATATTCAAACAAAGTTGTTTCTTGAAATGAACTAGAAACATAGCTTTCCTGTGTTGAACAGTTAGTACATTAATGATGTCGGAAATATGATGCATGATATTACCAATTTGATATTTCAATTGATAAACTTTGTGTCCAAAAACAAATAAAGGATTAACTATCACTTCAAATATAAGACAGAAGATATCTTTATCAGCTTGTAAATTCAATCCGCACTTTGTTGGAACCAAAAACTATCAGCCTATGCCCCCAGTATAGAGCCAGGCAAGCATGCAAATCTTTGCAGTCTGACCAGGTTCTACACTGTTAACAAGCTTATAACCTCAAGTCTCTCCAAACTTAGTAATACGCATTTTCAAAAGCTGAAGCTTTGCATGTTCATTTTAGAAATTTAGTAGGTTACGGGTCATGTTATATCCATCTTCACCTAAAGGTCTTGAAACATATCTATTAACACAAAAGATATTATTGAAATATAGAATTACTATATCTGTAACCTCTTTTTAAAGCACCTTTTAAAAGGATAGATACATGTATTCATTATCTAGTTCTAAGGGAGATAAATCAATTTTTTTTGAAACTGCTGTGTCAGTAAGAGTTGTGCCAATATTGTTATATTGTGATAGAAATATATTTAAGGCTGTGTATACAATGAAATCCTCTGTTTTATAAGCGTATTAAGTAGTTTATAGATTATGCACTGGCTATTTGTTATCCTGGCCCCACTAACCCCCTGGGGCAGTACAGGAGTTGACGGATGATTTACCTTTGCTCTGTTAGTCTGTGGTAGTCATACTAAGTATATTGTTACCATGATGGTTGGTCATATACTGATAAAACAGTGGACTGTTGGGGCATTCATGTCCTATGGAAAAATTTGCAGTTGGTAAATGTGGTAATTTTGTTTTAGCACCAAAAGAGTTAGAGTCACGTCCACCAGGTAGTGCAAGGGCATTAATCCAGGGTTTATTATCTGACAGTCTGTACAGGATGGGGCCTGTTCTCGGGGCATGATAACTCAAAAATTTAAAGCATCAAAATATTCTCCTGGGATGTGGGGACTGGAGTTACAACTGACTAGTGCATAAGTTGTATTTTATAGTGTCTTGTGTCTCCTAAATGTGATTGTATAGACATATTTTAGGATTTCCTTTTGTTATATTTTATTAGTACATGTACTTATAACCTTGGGTGACCTTGATTCCAAATGTAATTTTATAATGTAAACATTTAACAACATATTTATGCTAGTTCAAACCTGTATTGTAACAAATTTGCGAAATGCTTAAAATTTTCTGAAAAAAAAAGAAAAGAAAAAAACATGGTTTTCTTGCATTGCAGACTACTAACAAGACTTCAAGTCATAAACTAAACTAGTTTCAAATTAAGGACAGGGACGAATCTAGGTCACCTGATGGCGATACAGATGTACATTAGAAGCTAGTATCTTGTTTACCTATTGAATTGGTAAATATTTGTAAGTGTGTGTGGAAAATTGGAAATTTGAAACTCTAGGAGTGCTGGAGGATCAATGTCTGTATATATGTAATTCATATAAATGTGTTAAGATTTTTATATACATTGTATATTAGAGGATGCCATGTTTATTTATAATGAATATTGTGATGTTGTAAAATCTGCTTTTTTATACAAATTTAATTTATTAAATCATTTAAATTGGCCAGCTGAATTATGTATGTAATTATCCGTATTTAAATATGAGCTTGGTTAAGTTTCTTATAAATTATAACATAATTATGATGGTGAAAATATTTTCAATATTAAATACATATACATGTGTATTTGTTACAATTTGTATACCATATTTTCTCTAATGAACACCCATTGGGGTGTCGCATTTCCTTGAACAAATTCAGTGTCTATTCTAGGACGGGGAATGGGGGGATTCACTCCTATTTTTGAGAAATTACCCCCCCCCCATTTTTTCAGAGGCAGGGGGAAAATTTTACATAGAGAAAGAAGGTAAAAAAATCAACAAATGTAATAAATTCTCACTTTAAGATAAAAATCCCCCCTGTTTTTCAAATCCTAGAATAAACACTGCAAATAAGGGTATGGGAGAAGGGGGGATCAATGTACTAAAAAAAAGTTGAATATTGTTAGAAAAAAATAATGTTTTTGTGTTGTTTTTTTTCACTAGATCAAATCATAGAAGCAACAGCTGTTTTAAATGTGTGCTAATTTCTTTGTATTTATAATAAACTGCTTAAAATTTTTTTTCTTCAAAAAACAAAGATGTTTAAGGGAAAAAATATTACAGGATATACAGTATTTGTTTTCAAGTTTAAATTTTTTAAGATTTTTAAACTAAGAAATCAAGGAAGGGATGAAGAACATCACGTCAGGAACACCATAGTGGGTTTTATTATTTTATTTATCTACTGGGTTTGGTCATATAATGACCTTCATCAGGATAATAAGATATTTTAAGATTTTTGTTAAAAATTTTATCATCACATCCCTGGGGATTTTGGATTTTAAGACAAATATTTTTAAATGCTTCAATTTTTATTACTAATTTACATCTTCAAAATTGAATAAAGATATGTCGACTCTGAATAAGTCAGCTTCCTCCTTTAGTTATCAAAAGAAAACCAGCTGTATATACAAAGGTTTTACAAAATAGCAAAAGAAAAATATTTTACTTAAGAAATATATGTTATATAGTAAAACCTCTGTAGATCTACAACATCCTATATCACTAACTTCTGCTAGCGTAGAGTAAAAGAATAAAAACCATGAAACAATGATCTGATTTTAATGAGATTAAACATGACTTAAATGAAATTAAAGCCTCAGATTAAACAACACCCTTTTCAAGACAAAGATTTTGGTTGTTATTGAGAGATGTTGCTCTAAGAGAGGTTTACTTTGTTGTGAATTCTTATTTTCAAAAAGAAATGATGACACTGTTGTTGTAAAGAGGCTATTGCATTACAGAGGGCCACTTTGCTGAGGTTTCACTGTAGTTATAGGGTCAAAGGATTAAGTGTAAAATGGTTGAATGTTTTTTGTTAGATTCTAGTGTTGTATTGATAAATTTTTGTGCTTAAAATTTGTTTTATTGAAAAATATCTTGTCATTTAGCTGCTTTAACCTGCTGAAACCAAAACATGATCAGCCTTTGCCACCAGTATAGAACCAGGCCAGCCTGTACATTCATGTTGCTGACCACAACAGTATAGAACCTGAGGGCACATCCTAAATGCAATCTGACCTGAGGCTCTATGCTCTTAGTTTAAACATATTTTATTTCTCGGAATACATGTTACAATTTACAATATACACAAAGCAGTTCAAATATTCTTAAAAAACAGGATTAGAATGAAAGACAAGGTGTCTTATGAAATTCTTCCCCTCTTTCTTGTTGGTAGCATTGATATTGAAATGTCTTAAGGTCTAAATGGTAGTCTGTTATCATATTCTAACAACAAGAAATTCTATTGGACAGTTGTAATTTTGCCTATATGTGAGTACATGTATAAGAAAACTCCGAAAACATTTTTAATTTTCAAATGGACAGTTTCAAATTTAAAGCGAGGTTAATCCATCACACACCTTTCAGCAGGTAAACGGCTTGTTTTAATATGCTCTTTTCAGACAATCTTTCTGTGTAGTAAATATTTTGTCCAAATATCAATCAACTGCATGTTGTGTGTTTATTTAAAAGTATTTTGCACTGAAACCTCATTATAATGCTTATTTTTGATAGAGCAGTAAAATTTTTTTATATATATATTGGGCTCACCTGGGCAGATAAAATTATTTTTGCATTTCTCTGAAGAAGACTGGTTATATTGATATCTTTTGGACAGACTGTATCAAAATCTAATAATGTTCAACTAACAAGTCAGTTATTCTATGTGAATATATTCTTTAAGGTTATCAATCTCCAAGTTTCCAGTGTAGAACCCCACTCTATAAAGGAGTTTGCTGTTTATTTTATGTATCATTTACATCTTTTTTTTTTCTTTACACAAAGTTATTTAAAAATCAATTACAATTAGTGTAAGAAAAAAGAAGATTAATATGAGAAATAACCAGCAAACTCCTTGACACAGTGGGGTTTAAACCCTCAAAATGTTGGAGATTGATAAACTTTGTGCAAGAGATTTAATTTACTTACTGTTCCAAGAGTTGTTTGCTTTTAAAAATTTTATGCTTTGGGTTTCAAAAGCCTTGTTTTAAAGGCATAACATTTTCAGTGTACATCATTTTTAGCTCACCTGTCACAAAGTGACAGGGTGCTTTTGTGATCGCTTTTCGTCTGTCCGTCCGTCGTCCGTACACTTTTACTTTAAATGAAATCTCCTCATAAACCACTAAGCCAATTTCATACAAACTTCACATGAATGTTCCTTTGGTGGTAACCTTTGAAAATTGTTCAAAGAATTTAATTTCGTGCAGAACTCTGGTTGCAATGGCAACCAAAAGAAAAAACTTTAAATATCTTCTTCTAAAAAATCCAAAGAGCTAGAGCTTAGATATTTGGCATGAAACATCTTCTAGTGAGTGTCTACCAAGTTTGTTCAAATAAAAGCCCTGGGATCAAAATTGGCCCCCCCCCCAGGGGGTCATTGATTTTCCCTATATGCATATAGAAAAAACTTAAAAATCTTCTTTTTTGATTTTAAAGAACCCAAAGACCTAGAGCTAAGATATTTAGCATGAAACATCCTCTAATGAGTGTCTACCAAGGTTGTTCAAATAAAAGCCCTAGGGTCAAAATTGGCCCCGCCCCAGGGGGTCATTGATTTTCCCTACATGCATATAGTAAAAACTTAAAAAATCTTCTTGTAAAGAACCAAAAGACCTAGAGCTAAGATATTTAGCATGGAACATCCTCTAATACGTGTCTACCAAGTTTGTTCAAATAAAAGCCCTGGGGTCAAAATTGGCCCCACCCCGGGGGTCATTGATTTTCCCTATATGCATATAGAAAAAACTTAAAAATCTTCTTTTAAGGAACCCAAAGACCTAGAGCTAAGATATTTAGCATGAAACATCCTCAAATGGGTGTCTACCAAGTTTGTTCAAATAAAAGCCCTGGGGTCAAAATTGGCCCCGCCCCAGGGGGTCATTGATTTTACCTATATGCATTTAGTAAAAACTTAAAAAATCTTCTTTTAAAGAACCCAAAGAGCTAGAGCTAAGATATTTAGCATGAAACATGTTCTAATGGATGTCTACCAAGTTTGTTCAAATAAGAGCCCTGGGTTCAAAATTGGCCCCGCCCCAGGGGGTCATTGATTTTTCTTATATGTGTATAACAAAAACATAAAAAATCTTCTTTGAAAAAAAAAACAAATAGCTAGAGTTTAAATACTAAGCTTGAAACATCTTCTAGTGAGTGTCTACCAAGTTTGTTGTAATAAAAGCCCTGGGGTCAAAATTGGCCCCGCTCCGGGGGTCAGTCATTTTCCTTATATGTGTAAAACAAAAACTTAAAAAATCTTTTTTGAAAAAACTCAAATAGCTAGAGTTTAGATATTAAGCACGAAGCATCTTCTAGTGAGTGTCTACAAAGTTTGTTCAAATAAAAGCCCTGGGGGTCAAAATTGGCCCCGCCCCGGTGACATTGATTTTCCTTATATGTGTATAGCAAAAACTTAAAAATCTTCTTTGAGAAAACCCGAATAGCTAGAGTTAAGATATTAAGCATGAAACATTTTCTAGTAAGTGTCTACAAAGATTGTTCAAATAAAAGCCATTGGGTCAAAACTGGCCCTCATGCCCCAGGTGTGTCATTGTTTTTAACTATATGAATAAAGAAAAAACTTGACCAGCTAAACCTTAGATGTTTAGCATGAAACATCTTCTAATGGGTGTCTACCAAGTTTGTTCAAATAAAAGCCCTGGGGTTTAAACTGGCCCCCCTCTGGGGGCCTATATACAGGTGAGCGACTTCAGGGCCATCATGGCCCTCTTGTTTCATAATTTATTTATTTAGATTTCTTTATCATATAAAGGTAAGACATTCCAAACAACTCTCCTTTTGAAGATTAACTCTGTCCTTCCAGGCCCAAATTGAACAAAAAAATCAAATTGTCTACTAGTTGATTTATCTTTATTACTTTTAACAGCTGTTGGTAATTTTTTCCTAAGATTGTCATTCATTTAGAATTGTTTCTGGAGCACATGATTTTGATGTTTGAACCCCCTCCCGTTGCTTACAGGAT